AAAAAACGTCAAATCACCTTTCATTACATCGAAACCAAAGGACCACCTGTCTTCTTGAAACCCAGACGGTTACCACCAGATATGCTCTGAGCAGCCTGTGAAGAGTTTCAATTCTTAATGTTTCAAGGCATCATCTGGCCATCCAAAAGACCATGGGCCAGCCCATTACACATGGTTAAAAAGGCAAATGGCCAGTGGTGACCTTACAGTGATTACTGCCGCCTCAATGCTATAACCATCCCTGATCACTATCTTGTCCCTCACATACAGGACTGCACTCAACTCCTCGAAGGCAAAATAATTTTTTCCACACGATCTCTCCCGTGCCTATCACCAAATACCAATCTTCTCCGAGGACATTCCAAAAACTGCCATAACAACCCCGTTCAGCTTGTTTGAATACATCTATAATCCTTTCAGCCTACGAAATGCTGGTCAAACTTCCAGCGGTACATCCACCAGGTCCTACTTGGCCTTGGCTTCTGCATCCCCTATTTCAATGATATATTGGTCGCATCCAAGGATGCAGATGAACGCATGGACCACCTCTGCTTGCAAGACCATGGCCTAAAATTAAACCCATCCAAGTGCATCCTCAGAAAATCTGCAGTTTCATCTCTTGGCTGCATGATCACATTGTCAGGAGTATAGCCTCTGCCATCAAAAACCAAGGCTATCAGTAATTTTCTGCAACCAAAAACTGTCGCTGAACGTTGTCGCTTTTTAGCCATGCTCAACTTTTATAGACTTTTTTGCCAAATGCAGCCCAAACTCAGGCCTCACTACTCGAGTTTCTCAAGGATTCCAAGAAAAACGCATCATCTCCTGGAACGAATCTGCTCTAAAGTCCTTCAATCAATGTAAAGCAGATCTCTCAAATGCAATGACCCTTGCATACTATTCGTCAAATGACAATCTCTCTTTAATGGTAGACACATCCAATGTTGCCATTGGCACTGTACTCCAAACCCATACTGCTGAAGGACCTTGACCACTAGCCTTCTTTTTGCGGAAGCTAACACCCACCAAAAAAAGTACAGTACCTATGACAGGCAGCTGCTCGCTATATACTCTGTGATTAAACACTTCCTCCATACCATCAAAGGTCGGAACTTCGTCCTCCTTACAGACCATTGTCCACTCACCTTTGCATTTCACCATAAACCAGAAACTTGCTCCCCACGTCAGCTGTGACATTTCGATTACACTGCACAGTTCAGCACCAACATCAGGCACATCACTGGCTCTAACAACATTGTGGCAGACACCCTTTCTCGGATCAACGAGATTTGACTTCCCTTGACAGACTTTACCACCATAGCCGAAGCTCAAGCAAACGACAACAAGCTAACCGCACTCTTCATGGACGATAAAACATCACTCATACTACAACCTCTTTGAATCAGCCCATCACTACAACTATATTGTGACACAAAGGACAGCAAAGTTCGTCCATATATACCTCTCCAATTTTGCTGTCAAATATTCTCTTCCATGCACAATTTGGCCCATCCAGGAATTCATGCCACGAGACATCTAGTTGAAGAACGTTTTGTGTGGCCTTTGATGCAGAAGGGCATCGCTAACTAGACCCGTTCCTGCACAAACTGCCAATGGTCCAAATTAAACCGACATACCAACAGCCCTCTTCAGAGATTCGACCTTCCATTCAATCGATTTGCACATGTGCATCTTTGCCTCATTGGACCACTTTCCCCTTCAGATGGATCTACCTACCTACTCATCTGCATAGATAGATTCACAAGGTGGCCGGAAGCTGTTTTCTTCCACAACATCTCTTCTGAAACAGTAGCTCACACTTTCGTCTCTCATTGGATCTCCATATTCAGTGTTCCCTCCATCATCACCACCGATCATGGCTGACAATTCCAATCTTAGCTGAGCAGGGTAAAATATACTTGTCTCCTATGTACGTCACTTAAGCGCTACTTTTGTAATGATACAAAACCAGGCTACATACAAAAAACTTAATCTTTAATTTCTTAAGTATCAATACATGAGATATGAGTTATGATGCAACACTACCGGATGAACATAGAATCAAAAGAACCTCACTACGTCAATCAACAACTCGCGTTGTTCCTTCAAACGTTCTGAATACCCTCTAACAACATGAGGTGCCGCAGAAAATCAGTCAAAATCAACGGCACAGCAGCCCTGACAATGGCATGTGTTTCTATCACGCTACCTTTGGGGCACAGGCAAAAAAATGCAAAGCTCCTTTTGACTGGCGGAAAACTGACTGGGTGGGCAATTACGGCCAGGAGTCACACCCACCACATCGACCAAATTATCATGGCTGACCCTACTACAAAATATAAATTCCTTATAGATACAGGTGCCGACATCTCAGTGATTCCAAAAAGTTCCAACACATATTTAGGCAAACCTGAGAAGCTAGTCCTCTTTGCCGCAAATGGAACACTTATTCCAATTTACGGAACAAAGCTATTAACACTCAATTTTAACTTAAAGTGGAGTTTTTCATGGCCATTTGTAATTACTGATGTGACTCATCCCATCATAGGAATCAACTTTTTAACTAAATTCAATGTACTGGTAGATGTCAAAAACAATCGACTAATTGATGAGGTTATGCAACTTGGGTCTCCTGGTTGCTAGCAGAACTGACCCACAACTCTCATTAACATCACTGCAGTGACTAATAATTCTCCCTACCATCAAATTTTGGCCGAGTTCACTACCATTACAAATCAGTTGATAACTCCTGAAACCAAAAAAACGTCAAATCACCTTTCATTACATCGAAACCAAAGGACCACCTGTCTTCTTGAAACCCAGACGGTTACCACCAGATATGCTCTGAGCAGCCTGTGAAGAGTTTCAATTCTTAATGTTTCAAGGCATCATCTGGCCATCCAAAAGACCATGGGCCAGCCCATTACACATGGTTAAAAAGGCAAATGGCCAGTGGTGACCTTACAGTGATTACTGCCGCCTCAATGCTATAACCATCCCTGATCACTATCCTGTCCCTCACATACAGGACTGCACTCAACTCCTCGAAGGCAAAATAATTTTTTCCACACGATCTCTCCCGTGCCTATCACCAAATACCAATCTTCTCCGAGGACATTCCAAAAACTGCCATAACAACCCCGTTCAGCTTGTTTGAATACATCTATAATCCTTTCAGCCTACGAAATGCTGGTCAAACTTCCAGCGGTACATCCACCAGGTCCTACTTGGCCTTGGCTTCTGCATCCCCTATTTCAATGATATATTGGTCTCATCCAAGGATGCAGATGAACGCATGGACCACCTCTGCTTGCAAGACCATGGCCTAAAATTAAACCCATCCAAGTGCATCCTCAGAAAATCTGCAGTTTCATCTCTTGGCTGCATGATCACATTGTCAGGAGTATAGCCTTTGCCATCAAAAACCAACGCTATCAGCAATTTTCTGCAACCAAAAACTGTCGCTGAACGTTGTCGCTTTTTAGCCATGCTCAACTTTTATAGACTTTTTGCCAAATGCAGCCCAAAGTCAGGCCTCACTACTCGAGTTTCTCAAGGATTACAAGAAAAACGCATCATCTCCTGGAACGAATCTGCTCTAAAGTCCTTCAATCAATGTAAAGCAGATCTCTCAAATGCAATGACCCTTGCATACTATTCGTCAAATGACAATCTCTCTTTAATGGTAGACACATCCAATGTTGCCATTGGCACTGTACTCCAAACCCATACTGCTGAAGGACCTTGACCACTAGCCTTCTTTTTGCGGAAGCTAACACCCACCAAAAAAAGTACAGTACCTATGACAGGCAGCTGCTCGCTATATACTCTGTGATTAAACACTTCCTCCATACCATCAAAGGTCGGAACTTCGTCCTCCTTACAGACCATTGTCCACTCACCTTTGCATTTCACCATAAACCAGAAACTTGCTCCCCACGTCAGCTGTGACATTTCGATTACACTGCACAGTTCAGCACCAACATCAGGCACATCACTGGCTCTAACAACATTGTGGCAGACACCCTTTCTCGGATCAACGAGATTTGACTTCCCTTGACAGACTTTACCACCATAGCCGAAGCTCAAGCAAACGACAACAAGCTAACCGCACTCTTCATGGACGATAAAACATCACTCATACTACAACCTCTTTGAATCAGCCCATCACTACAACTATATTGTGACACAAAGGACAGCAAAGTTCGTCCATATATACCTCTCCAATTTTGCTGTCAAATATTCTCTTCCATGCACAATTTGGCCCATCCAGGAATTCATGCCACGAGACATCTAGTTGAAGAACGTTTTGTGTGGCCTTTGATGCAGAAGGGCATCGCTAACTAGACCCGTTCCTGCACAAACTGCCAATGGTCCAAATTAAACCGACATACCAACAGCCCTCTTCAGAGATTCGACCTTCCATTCAATCGATTTGCACATGTGCATCTTTGCCTCATTGGACCACTTTCCCCTTCAGATGGATCTACCTACCTACTCATCTGCATAGATAGATTCACAAGGTGGCCGGAAGCTGTTTTCTTCCACAACATCTCTTCTGAAACAGTAGCTCACACTTTCGTCTCTCATTGGATCTCCATATTCAGTGTTCCCTCCATCATCACCACCGATCATGGCTGACAATTCCAATCTTAGCTGAGCAGGGTAAAATATACTTGTCTCCTATGTACGTCACTTAAGCGCTACTTTTGTAATGATACAAAACCAGGCTACATACAAAAAACTTAATCTTTAATTTCTTATGTACATGAGATATGAGTTATGATGCAACACTATCGGATGAACATAGAATCAAGAACACGTGCATACAGAGAGAGGTCCGAATCCAAAAGTGAGGTCATAGGTCAGGTTGCCAGGTCTGTTCAGTTCAGAGTTCCTGATGGCAACTTTTGCATTTATGACCAAAACTGTTGCCACAGTACTCCCCCCAATACAATAGGTACAGAGTTAGAGGTATTGGGTGAACCTAACTCTCCTTCATGATATTCAAAGTTCAACGCGTGTATTTCTCCCGCACATTGATGTATTAACTAACGTCTCTATGGACCGCATTTGATCTGCAATTATCGTATAAATTGTAATATGGATTGTGAAAATGGTAAGAAAGTATTTTTTTATATAATAATCACATTTAATAATTTATGTCATTTTTAAAATTTTATAAATGATCTGTTAATATTAATTGTGTGATGATTATTGCAAAAGTTTAAGAGATAAAGTAATGGAGTAAACGAAGGACGATCGATATTATAGTAATCGATTGCTATTTTTAGAAAACTGATTGGTCCAATTTTGACTATTAATAGTCAAAATTGGACCAATCAGTTTCAGTGCTTGATTTTCTTCAATAAATACATAAATAGAAGTACTTAAATTTTTTTCTCCCCTTATGAATGTTTACTTTCCAATTTTTCATTGGTAAAAACTTTGAAAATACTCCAAGAAAAATAAAATAAAAGTATATTAAGATATGGAATGGATCTGCAGTGAAGCAATGTTTTAAAATTTATTAATAATTAATTAATAATATAATAATTAAAAAGTATATAGTTAAATCATAATTATACCATATTTGTTTATGGAATTTATATTGTATTTATTCATTTTATCAAAGTTTTTGGTTATTTAATAAAAATGAATAAATTTCTGCAATATGTAATTTTGCAGAAATTTTATTTTAAGTATTATAAATAAATGCTTATATTTTCTGTCAGTTTATATTTATAACAGATATATTAAGTTTATAATAAATCTGTTATGTGTAAAAATATCCAGTTCTGTAAATAAGAAATTATTGCTTATAGAAATTTGGCAAAGTATTAGCTTATAAACTTTTGATGTTCACAAAGAATTTATTTTAAAGTATTTAATGTAAGCCTGGAAATGTTTCAGTAAAATTATATTTCTCTAAAAAAATAGAGAAATAATTTGACAAATTAGATAATATCTCCTAAATTGAAAAAGGAATTTGACAGTTTACAAACATACATTTTTTATTTTAAGAATTGTAGTAAATTATCAAATTCAGTTTTTGTCACTGTTATGAATAGGGGTTATGAGAAAGTTTATTATTTTTTGTTGGTAAGAAAATCTGATAAATATATTTCAAATTCACTAAAATAAAAATAATAATAACCTGTAGTATTGTAGAATAATGTACTGTACTTAACAAGAATGACAAGAGAGTTGGCTCTTGTTCAGGTGCTGCTTTGACTGATAGCACTTATTAGAAGCAGAGCTTTGGAAAAGGGGGCCCTGATATGGCTCCAACTCAAGTTCCACTACAAGAGAATTTTCTGGCTCTGACTTTAACTCCAAACATTTAATTTTTAAGTACAATTGTTCAAGCATATTATTCAAACCATTTTACTTCATTCATTTATATTTAATTTGTTTTTATTGCTTTATGTAAATTTTATATAAACAATAGAAATAGATCTTTTGATTTCATATAACAATGTTATTTTAGCATTGTTCATGTAGTAAACTATAATTAAAGTGGAGGAAATCAATGAAAAGAGGATGAGATAACAATAAACAATTAACTAATTACTACTATACACAAGTTATTTAGCATCACTATGCATTTACCTGATTGAAAAGTTGTTCAGTCTATTTTTACAATTGCCAGCTTATATTAGAAAGATTATAATAGTTCTTAACATATAAACAAAATTAGCATTTAAAACATTTTAATTAAAAACAATTTAATTATTATTTAAAAGCTGCTAAAATTTTGTCTATACTATATTATTGATTGCAGTTTACACTTCTATGCATTTGAAGCTAGAACTACTTAAAATGACGAAGACAAAACCTTTCACACTTTGTTCCTAGCAGTTTAATCATTAAGTACAAACATTTTCGGCCGTTTTGAATGGCCTTCTTCGGGTACTATGAGGTCGTTTGGAACGTCGGTTAGCAGATATTCAAACGGCATCACAATGACGTCACTAGTAAGAAGAAACTTATGTAAACAGTGATGCCGTTTGAATTTCTGCTAACTGACATTCCAATTGACCTCATTGTACCTGAAGAAGGCCGTTCAAAATGGCCGAAAACGTTTTTACTTAGTGATTAAACTGCTAGAAACAAAGTGTGAAATGTTGTCTTAGTCATTTTCAGTTTACATAAATTAATTTTGTTTAATTCTGGAAAAAATAAACAGGATATGTCAGTAATGTGTCCTTGGTATTATGTCAGAAATATAAGTTAGGGAATTTTTAACTAGATTCACAAAATTTATCTAAGCCTAAATGAAGAAAACATAACTGGAGCTAACTCTTTTTTAAAGAATATATAGTTATGGGCGCCAGCTAAAATTGATGCTCCAACTATCTCTGGCTCCAAAACCTTGCTTAGAAATGTTTCATTTATGCTAGAGATAGTCCAATTCAGATAGAGATTCAGTGAGAAATTTATGTAGCTTATGTCTCAGTTTGTCAGACATAAAAGATTGTGATTGCTATATCTAGAGTGCTGCTACTTTGATGGAGTTAACTATGATAATGTATTATTAGTAAAATTTTAGTAGCTGGTACCTAGTACTGGCATTTGCTTAGTAAAAAGATTCTATATTATTAGATGGAAAATTTGGTGACTGGTGTGATAACAAACAAAACAAACTGCACTATACTATTAGCCACAATGAATGCAGAGGGCTGATAGGATCTGACATAAAAAGCAAATGGTGTGGTTACTCCTGCTTTCATTGGAGGCCATCTTTCAATAAAAAGACAATACTCTCTGATAATTGTCTGTCCCTGCTATGTTCTTGTCAAGAAATGAGACCATATTTTTATCTTAAGGTAAAGATGTATAACTAAAAGGATATCATTTAGTAAGTGACAGTAAATCTAAACAAGAAATAGGAAAGCAAGTGCAGACAGAGACATACAAAATTTTGGAAAATACTGTACTATAATATCAATATAAATTTATATATTTAGAAAAAAAAATAAATAAATAACTTAGTAGTACTGTATTAAACACTGTTTTTTAGTTATTACACTTTTCATAAGACAGAAGTTTATTTTTAGTTAACATATATATGTACTGGCAATAATATTTTTAAGAAAACAGCACAGACTATAATAATGTATCTTTATTTTCTGATTACCAGTACTTTATTAATACATTGAAACTTGAAAGATTTTATTTCATATATTTTTAAAAAGATTTTAAAGTAATTATAGAATTTTAAACTTCCTGTCTTTTGACAAGAATTTTATTTTCAGATATAGAATTGAATTCAACGTTTGATGTAAATCAACCAAATATTATAATAACAGGTAAGAAATAATTATGTAAAATTAATCATATAAAATACTAAACTAAAAGAGAATGAAAGTTGGAATTACAGATAAATTAATGAATTAGTTTACAAAACTAGTTTTATTACAAATAGTAATATTTCAAAATAAGAAAGCAAATAAAAAATGTATGCTTTGAATAAGATTTTCTTATTCAAAACATTTTCTTCAGAATGTGTTTATTGTAAGATTTTCTTTGTCAAAACTTTTCCTTTATAAAAATTATACTATACAGTATTCTACATTAAAGAAGCAATTATTTATTGTGACATTGTCACAATGCCAGGCTGCAATTTTTAATCATCTTTCTCTAAATGTAAAAAAAATCTCATGACTTCTGGTTCAGACAAGAAGTTTGTATATAGTTAATTGGGATCTTTAGCTCCTAAGCTTTCCTTATTTGGTCTGGATTTTAGTGGTGTCTTGTTCTTGTACATCACACTTCTGCTGATAACAGTCAAGTCATGTCAGTTATCCATCCCAAAATTTTAAATTTGGTGCATGATCTAATCCTCAACTGGCCCAACCAGAATAAATTTTCTACTCTGAAGGCTTGTCTTATCGACATCTATTCGGAGAGTGAGTCCTCGAAAATCAGAACGCTTCTTCAAGGGTTAGAGCTGGAAAACCAACGTCCATCCTTCCTATTAACAAGGATGCATGACTTGGCTGGTAACCATTTTAGTGAAGACCTCTTAAAATCCCTCTGGCTATCAAGATTACCCCACAATATACAGGCCATTTTAGCATCAAACAATAAACTTCAACAACTGGCCGCAATGACTGACAAAATAATGGAATTAGTCTGCCCTGTGCACATCCAAACAGTCAAATATGACCCCGTTGCCATCTCCACCCTGGAGAACCAAGTTGTGGAATTAGCCAAGCAGGTCAAGAACCTCACTACGTCAATCAACAACTCGCATTGTTCCTTCAAACGTTCTGAATACCCTCTAACGACATGAGGTGCCGCAGAAAATCAGTCAAAATCAACGGCACAGCAGCCCTGACAATGGCATGTGTTTCTATCACGCTACCTTTGGGGCACAGGCAAAAAAATGCAAAGCTCCTTTTGACTGGCGGAAAACTGACTGGGTGGGCAATTACGGCCAGGAGTCACACCCACCACATCGACCAAATTATCATGGCTGACCCTACTACAAAATATAAATTCCTTATAGATACAGGTGCCGACATCTCAGTGATTCCAAAAAGTTCCAACACATATTTAGGCAAACCTGAGAAGCTAGTCCTCTTTGCCGCAAATGGAACACTTATTCCAATTTACGGAACAAAGCTATTAACACTCAATTTTAACTTAAAGTGGAGTTTTTCATGGCCATTTGTAATTACTGATGTGACTCATCCCATCATAGGAATCAACTTTTTAACTAAATTCAATGTACTGGTAGATGTCAAAAACAATCGACTAATTGATGAGGTTATGCAACTTGGGTCTCCTGGTTGCTAGCAGAACTGACCCACAACTCTCATTAACATCACTGCAGTGACTAAGAATTCTCCCTACCATCAAATTTTGGCCGAGTTCACTACCATTACAAATCAGTTGATAACTCCTGAAACCAAAAAAACGTCAAATCACCTTTCATTACATCGAAACCAAAGGACCACCTGTCTTCTTGAAACCCAGACGGTTACCACCAGATATGCTCTGAGCAGCCTGTGAAGAGTTTCAATTCTTAATGTTTCAAGGCATCATCTGGCCATCCAAAAGACCATGGGCCAGCCCATTACACATGGTTAAAAAGGCAAATGGCCAGTGGTGACCTTACAGTGATTACTGCCGCCTCAATGCTATAACCATCCCTGATCACTATCCTGTCCCTCACATACAGGACTGCACTCAACTCCTCGAAGGCAAAATAATTTTTTCCACACGATCTCTCCCGTGCCTATCACCAAATACCAATCTTCTCCGAGGACATTCCAAAAACTGCCATAACAACCCCGTTCAGCTTGTTTGAATACATCTATAATCCTTTCAGCCTACGAAATGCTGGTCAAACTTCCAGCGGTACATCCACCAGGTCCTACTTGGCCTTGGCTTCTGCATCCCCTATTTCAATGATATATTGGTCTCATCCAAGGATGCAGATGAACGCATGGACCACCTCTGCTTGCAAGACCATGGCCTAAAATTAAACCCATCCAAGTGCATCCTCAGAAAATCTGCAGTTTCATCTCTTGGCTGCATGATCACATTGTCAGGAGTATAGCCTTTGCCATCAAAAACCAACGCTATCAGCAATTTTCTGCAACCAAAAACTGTCGCTGAACGTTGTCGCTTTTTAGCCATGCTCAACTTTTATAGACTTTTTGCCAAATGCAGCCCAAAGTCAGGCCTCACTACTCGAGTTTCTCAAGGATTACAAGAAAAACGCATCATCTCCTGGAACGAATCTGCTCTAAAGTCCTTCAATCAATGTAAAGCAGATCTCTCAAATGCAATGACCCTTGCATACTATTCGTCAAATGACAATCTCTCTTTAATGGTAGACACATCCAATGTTGCCATTGGCACTGTACTCCAAACCCATACTGCTGAAGGACCTTGACCACTAGCCTTCTTTTTGCGGAAGCTAACACCCACCAAAAAAAGTACAGTACCTATGACAGGCAGCTGCTCGCTATATACTCTGTGATTAAACACTTCCTCCATACCATCAAAGGTCGGAACTTCGTCCTCCTTACAGACCATTGTCCACTCACCTTTGCATTTCACCATAAACCAGAAACTTGCTCCCCACGTCAGCTGTGACATTTCGATTACACTGCACAGTTCAGCACCAACATCAGGCACATCACTGGCTCTAACAACATTGTGGCAGACACCCTTTCTCGGATCAACGAGATTTGACTTCCCTTGACAGACTTTACCACCATAGCCGAAGCTCAAGCAAACGACAACAAGCTAACCGCACTCTTCATGGACGATAAAACATCACTCATACTACAACCTCTTTGAATCAGCCCATCACTACAACTATATTGTGACACAAAGGACAGCAAAGTTCGTCCATATATACCTCTCCAATTTTGCTGTCAAATATTCTCTTCCATGCACAATTTGGCCCATCCAGGAATTCATGCCACGAGACATCTAGTTGAAGAACGTTTTGTGTGGCCTTTGATGCAGAAGGGCATCGCTAACTAGACCCGTTCCTGCACAAACTGCCAATGGTCCAAATTAAACCGACATACCAACAGCCCTCTTCAGAGATTCGACCTTCCATTCAATCGATTTGCACATGTGCATCTTTGCCTCATTGGACCACTTTCCCCTTCAGATGGATCTACCTACCTACTCATCTGCATAGATAGATTCACAAGGTGGCCGGAAGCTGTTTTCTTCCACAACATCTCTTCTGAAACAGTAGCTCACACTTTCGTCTCTCATTGGATCTCCATATTCAGTGTTCCCTCCATCATCACCACCGATCATGGCTGACAATTCCAATCTTAGCTGAGCAGGGTAAAATATACTTGTCTCCTATGTACGTCACTTAAGCGCTACTTTTGTAATGATACAAAACCAGGCTACATACAAAAAACTTAATCTTTAATTTCTTATGTACATGAGATATGAGTTATGATGCAACACTATCGGATGAACATAGAATCAAGAACACGTGCGTACAGAGAGAGGTCCGAATCCAAAAGTGAGGTCATAGGTCAGGTTGCCAGGTCTGTTCAGTTCAGAGTTCCTGATGGCAACTTTTGCATTTATGACCAAAACTGTTGCCACAGTACTCCCCCAATACAATAGGTACAGAGTTAGAGGTATTGGGTGAACCTAACTCTCCTTCCTGATCGTATCGTCATCATGTTGGCAGGTGCAGAGTCACTCAGAGTGTTTACAGTTGGTCGTTCTGGGGAGTCTGGACGTGTTGTCCTGTATGAGTTTGATGATGTGCTGACGTTATTGCTGTCCAAAAATGTAGGCTTCAGTTGGTCGATGTTAACTGTTGTTGTTTTTCCGTTGGCTAGGATTGTGAAATGCTTGGGTGTCCGCGTGGTAACTGGGAAGGGGCTGTCATAAGGGGAGGTCAGGGAAGTTTTATACCCTTCTAACCGCACGAAAATGTGGGAGCAGGTGTCGAATGCTGGATGAACAAAGTGTGAGGGTTTTACATGTGTGGATGTTGGAGTTGGCATGAGTGACTGCATTGTGAACTGTAGGTGATGGAGGAAGGATGATGGATCTGCTGAAGGTTCCCACGAAGGATGAAAGAGCTCTGCCTGGAGATGAAGAGTTGTGCCGTACACCATTTAAGCACAAGTACTGTACCATTGATGTCTTCTTTTAATGCTGATCAAAGGCCAAGAAGAATGATTGGGAGGAATTCCGTCCAGTGTTATTCATGACATCTGAGAGCTTGTTTTAGGGATTGATGGAATTGTTCAACTAAACCATTGGTTGATGGGTGGTATGGTGTTGTATGTATGTGTTGGATGCCCAACATAGCTATTAGTGAGGTGAACAGTTGAGAAGTTTTTTTTTGTCTCTTTTTAATTTTGTATTTAGAAAATTTGTTGTGTCATGGATATTTGTAATTGTATTCTTGTTAGTTACTAGGATTAGGTTTGCGGTAAATTTGTTATTTGCTTAGTTTTAAGTGTATGTGCCTTCATGAAGCCAAGTATTGTCTCACTGAAAATGGCTGATAGTGTGGGTCTCATGAGAACTTTTGTACACTTTGGCACTTTAAACCACTTTTTTTGTTAAGGTGAGACATTATGTCACTTATTGTTTTCACAGCACCAACAAAACACTCACAAACTCTGAAACTTTGAGTTCTGCTGTTAAGCATACTGTCAAATGAAATTTTTTGAATATCAGAATGAAGAATATTTCAAACAGCTCTCATTGTGTCTTCAATTAATTTTAGCATTATGACATGATAATTTCTTTGTGTAAATTCAAAAGCACAATAAAATTTATTGATCCAGTTTTAAAATATTTAAATTCCTAGTTTGTTTTATAATTTTCCTGCAATAATTCCTGCAATTTTAGACATTCTTTATTTGCATTACTACATTCTTCCTGATGGTGATTTTTCCCCCTCTTGCAGAAATCACTTCTGCAAGAGGGGGAAAAAATTTCAGAGAATATACTTATTGAGTTTGTTGAATTCTGTCCTTAGTCAAATAGTTTCCACATCAATCCTGATTGCTTGTATATTATATTTATATGCAAATATTTGAATAATTAAATTTACTTGTTTAAATTTATTAATTAAATTCTTATTTTATATTTTAGGATTTGGTCCATTTAGAGACATAGAAGTTAATTCTAGTTGGATAGCTGTACGAGAGCTTGCAAAAGTTGGTATAGATGGAGTAAATTTGATAATCAAAGAAATTCCAGTTGAATATGAAACTGTAACAAAAATTATTCCAGAATTATGGAAAAAGTATAAACCTGCTGTAAGTTGTTTAATTTTATAAATGTTTATGTAAGAAATTTGACANTTCATGGCCATTTGTAATTACTGATGTGACTCATCCCATCATAGGAATCAACTTTTTAACTAAATTCAATGTACTGGTAGATGTCAAAAACAATCGACTAATTGATGAGGTTATGCAACTTGGGTCTCCTGGTTGCTAGCAGAACTGACCCACAACTCTCATTAACATCACTGCAGTGACTAAGAATTCTCCCTACCATCAAATTTTGGCCGAGTTCACTACCATTACAAATCAGTTGATAACTCCTGAAACCAAAAAAACGTCAAATCACCTTTCATTACATCGAAACCAAAGGACCACCTGTCTTCTTGAAACCCAGACGGTTACCACCAGATATGCTCTGAGCAGCCTGTGAAGAGTTTCAATTCTTAATGTTTCAAGGCATCATCTGGCCATCCAAAAGACCATGGGCCAGCCCATTACACATGGTTAAAAAGGCAAATGGCCAGTGGTGACCTTACAGTGATTACTGCCGCCTCAATGCTATAACCATCCCTGATCACTATCCTGTCCCTCACATACAGGACTGCACTCAACTCCTCGAAGGCAAAATAATTTTTTCCACACGATCTCTCCCGTGCCTATCACCAAATACCAATCTTCTCCGAGGACATTCCAAAAACTGCCATAACAACCCCGTTCAGCTTGTTTGAATACATCTATATTCCTTTCAGCCTACGAAATGCTGGTCAAACTTCCAGCGGTACATCCACCAGGTCCTACTTGGCCTTGGCTTCTGCATCCCCTATTTCAATGATATATTGGTCTCATCCAAGGATGCAGATGAACGCATGGACCACCTCTGCTTGCAAGACCATGGCCTAAAATTAAACCCATCCAAGTGCATCCTCAGAAAATCTGCAGTTTCATCTCTTGGCTGCATGATCACATTGTCAGGAGTATAGCCTNAGCAGCCACAGGCTGGCAAGGGATATCTCAGGTAACCATTAATTGCCCCATTAATAATATGCTTTGTTGTATAGTGGTCAGTATAGCTGCTTGTAGAGGCCATATTCATTACTGAATAAAGTTATGTTTATTTGTTCTTTTCATCAATTGCATATCTCTGTCACACTTCTAGTTCTGCAACGTGCATGTGGCTATACACATTCCTTTGTGATGTTGCAATTTTGCTTTTCAGGAGTGTATATGTCAAGTGTGGCAAACCTTTTTGAGACTGCCTGCCATATAATAAGCATACTTAACTTTAAAGATATTTATGCATGCCAAAGTTTAGATTTCAAATAATAATATTTAAATAAATTAAACAAAAATGTTTTAATTAGAATAAATGTAAAAAAGCTGATTGAAAAAAGGATAATCAGTTGATAAACAAAAAAGATGATTGGAAAAAACAGATAATAAATCAAAATCATACAATACATTGTACCAAATGATTTCTCCTTATGTGCCACTTTGGGCATGCGTGCCACAGGTTTGTCACCCCTGGTATATGTTCTCAATTTTAATTAATAATGTCTTGCCTCTATACATCATATTTTCCCTATTAACAAGAGAGTTATGCCAGTCATCTATCTAACTCTGTTCTGGAGAAAATTTTTGTATTGAAATAACATGACTTGTTGTCCCAATTGGAAGTTTGCATATAGTTAATTGGTGCCTCCTTCCTCTAAGCTTTCCATATTTGGTCTCGACTTTCATCTATCTAACTCCGTTTGCAACATTAAGGAGGGACAGACAGACACACCAGTGAGAATTTACAGGTCTGCAATTTTCAAATTGCAACCCAATAAGCCTTTGCAATTTGAAAAACTATCTAAATATTGTTACTATTTAATACTTTTATAATTAAAAAATAAAAAATTATAATTAACCTTTCTTGTAATATTTCACAGCAACATAATCATCTGGAAAATAAAAGAGTATATTTAGTAATCAATTTACAACAATTAATTGTATTTTATATAACATTTAAGACTTATTAACAACAAATAATTGACATAGTCAAGTAATAGTGAGAACATAATAAAATTAAGTTTATCTGAAAATTCTTAGTTATTTTAATATTAATGTTTACATTATCATTAAGATAAAGTTTCTTCAAGTACACAAATATTTTAATAAACAATAAATTTTGACCAACAAAAATAATACTTGATTTTGGCACTATACTCAGAAAAATGAGAAACAATGCTTAATTTTAGAAACCAAATTAAATTTTTATTTAGTAAAATTTTTGTTCTTTTATAAGATCATCATCCGCGGTGAAAATTAGCAAGTGCATTAGAGTGAATACATTTGAAAGAGAGAACATCCCTACATTTAAAGTATCGCTACAGGTCCCTTTTTTTTTAACAAAAATCCTTAAACAAAACAAATTCAAACATTTTCTTTACTCCTCAAAAAGAACAAACTCTCCTTTCCACCTTACATCATTTGTAAACTCTCTTCTGTTCCAGCATTCCAGATTCTTCTTTTTTTGATTTATATATATATAACACAGACTATACTTGGGGAAAGCGAGTAGGTCCCATATCACTACACAAACTTTTTCAAATTTAAAATTGTATGGAAGTTACAATTATTCAGAAATGAATAAAATAAAGTAAACCAAAGTAAGTTAAAACAGAAGCAGCATCAATTTGCAGATGATGTTTGCTGAAAGGTTTGTAGTAGAGTGGCCACAAGTCTACATTTACTGTTGTAGTAGATCATATTTAAGTCAATTTGTTCTTAGTTTCCTGTTTTAATTTAGCATGAAATGAGGTCAGGGTATCTCATACCATGTCTTCCATACACCTCCATAGTAACATTTGCAATGACACAAGATACACGCATAGAAATGCAGAGAGCACAATTGATACAATCCACCCACAAGCAAGAGTTAAAAGGAATGAAATGATTGGAAATATACAAATCTGTAAGGGACCTTAAATGCACTAATTGCAGAGGATGCAGAGGGTCTCATAGTGCATAGATAGCATGGTATGAGATACACTGATCTCATTTCATGACATTCCAAAACCCAATACGTCAGCGCACACAGTTCAAAAATGGTTTTACTATATTGGTTATTTTAAAATTTTTAAAAATTGTAAGTATTCTGTGTAGAGTCAGTTCCACCAAAAATTCTTTAAATATTTTATTTTATTATTTATTTGTTAATTTATCTAATATTTTCATTTTAAATTTAAATGTAAAATGTTCAAACATTCCATTATTAAAATGTTAAATTTTTAAAAATACTTTTGAATTTCAATTACACCTGAAGATGGCCTATTGGGTTGAAAATGTTAGTGTTTTGTTTAATAAACATTTCTCAGCAACAGAAGGTGTTTGATGGTTCATTAAGTTTATAAAAAGCTGAATTTGATACTTGGTTTTAATTTTCTTATAACATTAATAATCTCATTATCAGAAAACAATTTAAAATAATCAATTCAGAAATAATTAATTGAAGTTAATATAAATATTTGAAATATAAAATTTTTAATAGTAAAAGACTGCTAAAAATTACACTACAGGTTATAATGATGCAAATATTATTGTTATAATCTAATAAACTGATAGAGGTGATTGCCCAGGAATAGCATTGTTAAAGATATAGAATGTATTATCATTCAGCTATTAAAATTTCTAAAGGGAAACTTTAAATTATAATATTTTTGCTATAAGAAATGCAATTAGTTTCACTAATTGAAAGTCATGCATTTTTGCTTTTATTATTAATTTTTTTTTCCTGTTGAGAATTTCAACTTTCTTTCAAATATCTGAATATTATAGCTTCATCCAAAGTCTTAATTTTTTGAAATCAGATTTTGAGGTAAATTGACTAAAGATTTAAGCTCAACATTCTCAAAAATCCCTAAGTACATGATTTTATACTTACTAACTATTAAAACCAGATTTAAATATTGTATTGGCCACTAGATGGCATTCCCTCTATAATTGACAGTTAACTGAACATTCTAAACTGGGTACAATTGCAGATGTGAATGACACCGTCCCAACACTGTCATTCACCTTAACAGAACTATAGAGCATGCTCAAAGGAGCAAAAATGTCAAAGGAACCAAAGGGTTTATATCTCACAAAGAGTTACATGTAGAGGTACTACATGTGACTCTTTATGAGATATAAACCCCCGAAATTGGCAGCATGGAATTGGGAGTTGTAATGCACACTGCATGCTCTGTAAAACTATAGCATTTAACTATTTAGTTCATGTGACTATGCTGGCTTTGAGTAGCCACTAGACTGCTCATGGAGTACTTGATGATATAGTTTTAAGGGATATAGGGGCTCACTCCCATGCTTACACTTTGGTGCTTGCTATTGCTTGTACCAAAGCTCACGACTATATGCAGAGCATTGTCAAGGCAAGCAATAGCAAGCCATGACTGATGTATGCACAGAGAATAGGCAGTAGTATTGGTTCAAGGTAAATACCATTTCTGATCAGTAGAAGTTAGTGCATTTATTTGTTACAGGTACTGATTGATGTGCCTATAACTTAACTTGCTTGCAAGCCCAACATCTGCAAGCAAGATGGCAACTGGAACTGCTGCTGTTGGGTTTCCATATTTGGATGTGGCAAAGGGTCACATGTCAGACTTTTTTTATTCTTTACTGATAAATATTGTTAGCTTGTCTGATTACTGTGCTGAGCTGTCTATTAAACACATAATAGGCTTAGTGGAGCATGCAGTGACTCCGTGTAGCGCCTGGAAGTAGGCTGTAGGCTGATTTCAGGGGGGCTATATCTTGTGAAGTGTCACATATAGAGGTATGGTTCCTTTGACTTTTCTTTGATATTATTGCACCACTTTAGGAAATGCGTACATAGATGATAAAATTAATGCAATGACTTACTTGATTAGTTTTAATTAAGACAGCAAATGATAAGTATGCTCTTTATTTTAAACTATTTTGATCAAGTTACATAAAATTATGATTGCATAATCATTTGAAATTATTATTAGACTGGAATCTCA